GAGGTAAGGTGACATATAACTTGATTTGAAACTTCCGATAGATCTTCCTATTAAAAAGAAAATGCAATTAAGAGAATGAAGGTCTGTGTGGTCTCTTATGTGAAGGTTATTATAGTTCAAAGTTTCGATCAGAATTATCTAACTGGAATATGTCTGTTGTATGAATGATTGTTCTATCTTTGACGTTAATTTCCCCCTAAAACTTTTTTCCCGACCCGCACATGATAGTCGAGCTAGGTTGAAAAAACTTCTCCGTCATGTTCTTGTGAAGTTTAGAGAGAAACTATTCTTTGATTTCTACTCCTACCGATCAAGTCTAAAATAATAATTTTACTAAACGTTTTGTTTTAGCTGAAAATTGATACACGTTTATACTGATCAGGCACATAATTTGTTTTTGTTTGTTCACTTTCAAATGCGTGTATTTGATTAATTGAATGAAATTGCACTCAAGTATCTATTTTGTCGTGATGCGAATTATCTTACATCATGTGATTGAAAAGAATGAAAAAAAGTCTCTTTTTTTTGTTCATAATTGCTAAGTGAAGAATGGAAGAAGTATAAAAATATTTTCAAGTGGAAAACACACATGCCCGTCGTCAATGGAATCTGATGAGTTAAACAATAGTATAATGTGGTTAGACACAATCTTTTTAAAAACTTTATCACAACACAATTTGTAGTGAGCCGCTTTAACATAACAAAATGTAATGTAAAGTACCATCCAAAAAGTGCGATTTATTAGCTATATGGTTATAATTCTTCATCAAATGACGATAGGAAAAATAAAAACTAAGAAACATTTCTAGATCAACAGATGTAATTAACAGGGTTATGTTGAATGATACCACCTGCATCCTTTTATTTCATCTTCATGAAACGACAAGTTTTGCTCGAATCGAGGTCGAATTTTGTAAGTATAAGTCTATTGTGCAAGTGAATAAGCAGAAATTTGGATGTACTGAACTGAACTAAATTTATTTCATCAAATACATGAAACCCAGATAAAAGAAAAAAAGCACATGGTTGACAGAAAAGTTGGAAAAGTCAAAAACGTATAATTAATAACCCTACCACCTTGCATTGAGTAGAAAAAAAGCTAGAATAAATGAAAAAACAAACAAATCATCACATGATGAACCTTTAAGTACAAAATACAGTTCCACGCCTATGGCAAGAATTTTGAGCTAGGTTTGAAAAATGGAATATGGCAAAATAAAATCAACAAACAACTGTATCATTTGTACATATTCAAATGAGATCTCATCAATCTTTTAAATTGATTTACTGTAAGGCAACTGACTATATCCTTCGGTAAACTGTTTCACCTATTTACAGTCTTACGAAAAAATGAAGATGCAACTCGGTCCATTGTTGCAGTGATAGTTTTTACTTGTTGCGTATTCTTTCTATCTGAGTTTAAACTATCTAATCGACGACGCTCTAATTCAATGAATTTCGGCTGAAAATTAGAGAGTGGTGAGAAATTATTTTTGATTTTATAGAATGCAAGGGCCGAAAGTATTTCCTTCTCAAAGACAAATCGGGAAGTTTTAATCTTTCGATTAACTCCGTAACTGGGCCGTTAAATTGTTTACATATTATACGTGCAGCTAACTTTGTGACCTTATCAAGACTTGAACTAAACCACTCAGTATCATATATTACAGAACAGTAATCTAATTTACTAAGAATGCATGCCTTATAAATTTTTAATCGAACATATATCGGAGCATCTTTAAATGTACGATACAGGACGCCTGAACGACGCCTATAGGCGCATACATATTTATACATGCAAGAACCATGTCGTCCACGTGTGCTCCTCAACTTAAATTGTTCGAAAGTCTCACTCTTAGAAGAACGACAGACTATTCACGCTTCATTACTGTAGAATTGATAGAAAACGAAAGGTGATTGGCAACACACGGAGATCGATTAGCAAAATACATTCGGCTACATTTTGAATAATTTAGCGACATTAGATTGAATGAACATCATTCTTCGATTTTGCCGATGAAACCGTGTCGAGTATCGACCCTTGAGGAACGCCGGACAGTACACTGATTAAATTCGAATAAGAAGAGCCAATTTTTACTCTTTGTCTTCTCTTCGTAAGATGACTCTCGAACCATCTGTACTCGTCTCCTTTTATTCCCAGTGCGGAAAGTTTACTCAAACTTATCTGAAACGGTACTCTATCGAACGCTTTCTCAAAATCAAATAGTACTAGGATTGAATCTATTCCTTCCACTAGATGGTTATAAATTTTTGATGTGAGATATAATACTGCGTCCGTAGCCACCGAGTGGACTCAGCCCATCCACTAACTGGTTCTGCCCACCCACTAAAAGTTTTATTCACACTACTCTGCGCTAATGTCTACCACTTTGAAAAAGTTGGAGCAACGCCCACCCACTACCAAAATCCGGGCTACTTCACTATGTCTGCCGTGCTACAATTCGGACGAAAACCAAATTGTGTAGGAGAGAAAAAACGGCATGAATTCATACTTTTCAATATTCAACTCAGCAAAATCTTCCAAGCACCAGCTTTCCGTTGAATCTAGTATGGTCGGTGCTTCGTGCGTTAGACTAAAAGCTGCGACAAGCACCAAACAAAAACCATCATCTGCAAACAATGATGTTATTATTGTTGTAGGAAAAAAATACAAAGATCGTTAATGTAAACAAGAAAAAAGAATGATCCATAAACATTACCTTGGGATACACCTGCTGATATTAGGGTAGGGTTAGACTTTGCCTTATTTAATTTTCCTGGTTGTTTACGGTAACATAGATATGAAGAAAGCCATACGATAAGAGCCAAAATCGGCCTTCTTACGAATCAATCTTATATCACGAGAGTAGAAGAAATAAATAAATATAACTGTATATTTTAAAAATTTGGATTTTTTGCGTACTCCTTCCACAATCGATCGACACTTTTTTCCATTAGTCGATACCATTTTTATCCATTTTGATAACGATTTTCTCTCAAGCTGAATCCAACAGATCAACAATTTTATTATTCTTTTTACGTTCTGCCCATGTCAGAAAACGTCCAGCAACACGATATGAATCTGTATACTTTTGATTACGGTTAAATGAAGATAAATGCCAATTACCGCCATTATTATCATTATTATCCATATTTTCAGCGTACATAATCAGCAATACCTTCAACAAGTCAAGACGGTTGATCACCACCAGGATACCATTGAGCAATATGCATTACTTCATCTGTAACTAAATTTGGAACTTTTAGATTATCTCGTAACCATGTGGCACTAACAACAATTTGACCATTGTCTATGACAAAATAGCAATAACATTTTAACTCTTTTACGAGTCCTGTCGAGGCATAGAAGTGGAAGACTAAAGCGCTATAGAATGTGAAAACATTTATCATTCAGTCGATAGAGAATTTCACGCTGATCAAGAACATCTGGTTTTTAGCCTTCCCAGCGCACATTATCAGTGAAATGGTGCTCGTAATTCTCAATTTTCTCTATCAGAAATTAACTTTTATGCAACAGAAATATCATATTCAGAATCAGTATCAAAAACTGAGTCCACTAATGTGTATTTCGAAATTTTTAGTTGATTTTCATTTTTTGGTAAAAAACGCGATAGTCGGATATGATAGAGGTACACATTATTAGACTCAGTTTTTGATATTGATTCCGAATATGATATTTCTGTTGCATAAAAGTTGAGTTTTGATGGAGAAAATTGAGAATTATGAGCAGAATTATGCTTTTTTTACTAATTGAAAAAAAATGAATTTTTTCACCAACAGAAAGGAATTTCAAAAAAGCGATTCATACTTTTTTTCTACATTTCGAGGCGAATCGAATGGCGTATGAAACTTGGCTTCATATGTTAACAAAAGAGCTGCAAGATGAGAATCTCGAAACGAAAGATATATCGGTTCTGTTTCGCGCCCAGAAAATATTTTTTGGTCTGGAATCTTGAAATACAGTTTTCTAGATGCAATTTTCAATGCTGAGTAAGAAAAACATAGTTTCACAGCTTCGAAATAAGGTGGAACCAAATTATTCAATTTTTAAAAAAGGTTAATGGTTTTTCGGAAAAAGAGATCCTTCAGTTTTTTGAATTTGTTTCACTGATAATGTGCGCTGGAAAGGCTAAAAACCTGATATTCTTGATCAGCATGAAATTCGCTATCGATGATGTATGAATATGCCAAAAATAAAATAGTCCTATAACTTAGAATTTGGACCCGAGTACCTATCTATCGGTCATCCACTCCATCATTTTCCCAATGGCAAGTAGTAAACATAAATTTATTCAATACCACATCAATAAAATTGAACAACAGACACAAAGTGCATCACATTATCCATATTTAAATAAAACCATCAAAGAGAACCTGAAACTTCAAAGAAGACTCTTGAATTTTCATTCTTTCACAATCAGACAATTGAAATAGAATGAGAAAAAATATTGCCAACTTTCCAGACTAATAGTATTTTTAATTTCTTCAACTACAAATTCTTTTGCTCACATACTTGGCTATTGACACCACTCAAATATGGATAGCTGTTCGTGTTACGCTCTTTCAAACACATCGGTCTCTTATGCTCAATAGAAACAGTTGTCTGATTACTCTGAAATATGCTTTAAAATAACAAACAATCATCTATTATGAGCTTATGGCACATTTTCTGATGCAGAAGCGCTGTCTTTTTTGTCTGCTTTTTGTTTAATAGTAGAGATGTTGTTTACAACGTATTTGACTTTTGTCATTCATCATCTAACTTTATGCTTTCAAAATTCAGGCAAGTTTATCTCACATCAAGAACCTATTGTTTAGTGGAAAAAAACGGCGCATAGCGTAAAAAACTGTTTCACATTTTACTACTAAATAATTTTGTATTGGATGAAAGTTTCTTGCAAAGATTGTTCGTGACATAATTGTTTTTTCTTTTTGTTAGTCACACAATGTAAACAGGAAAAAGAGTAGCCTGATATATTTCATTTCCAAATTCTAATCATTTGTGGATAAATGAACTTTGTAATATTTCGATGTTTCAGTATTTGGCTTAAAATAATTAGTGTATCGTTGAACAAACTTTCGTATAGATTAATTTCTAAGCTATAAAGTTTGGTCATCTTATTTAATATCAATGGTAGTATAACCAACAAATCATAGTTTGTTCGAATATCTAATGAAAGACATTCTAAACTAGGTGAAAATATTTGAACAAAATCATTGCTAACATCAATTGGTAAATAATCATTTCGAAATTGACATTTTTGTAACATCATTTTTTGTAAAAGTAAATTTACGTGTACATTCTTAAAATTACTAGTTAACTGTAAAAAATAATGAAGATCAATAACTAAGTGACGAATATTGACAGCATTTTCAAGTAATGCTTCTAAGAATTTAATATCAACTGACAAATCATTTTGAATAATCAAATGTTTTAAATTTGAAAATATGATCGTTTTATTCAAATATGATATGACGGATGATGATGATAATAAATTAGTTGAAGTATTTACTAATTCCAGTGTATGCACATTCAAATATTTTCGAGTTATAAACGGCCAATGTGATGTCAAATTAAGATTTAAGTAATTGATAGTATCATAGGCATTTGATACATCAAGAACAGATGTTGATTGTAAATTTTCCGATGACGTACTAAATATTGAATTTGAATAAGGTATAGTATATAAATGATAGACATTTGAATTGTTTACACTCGATTCACAGATAATCGTCCACCGATGATAAAGCCAATATTGTGTTTGAAATGACGATGATAGTTCACATATATCTAATGAATTATCTTCAATAATAATATCCATATGAAATTTTTCTAATAACGGATATGATGAGAGTATTGATTGCCATCGATTACTATCCGTATGAGCATCATTATTGTTTTCACTTGCAATTGAACGATATGATAATTCTTTTAATTGATTAAGTCTCATTAATAAAAGTTCAATGGCTCTAAAATTAACTGAAAGATTATTTATTTTCAATGTTTGTAAATGTTCTGGCATTGTTGATGAATTTATCGTAAAGAGATAAGTATCAATATCACTTTGAATTCCGATTAGTTCAATTTCTAAATAATTTATACATGGAAAACAGTCAAATATGTGAAATAAGTCTGTAAAATAACAATCAGCAATGATTGTTAAATATTGCAAATTAAAATGTGTTCCTAGTTTACCAATAGAAATTTGACCATTATAAAATAATTTTAATGTTTTTAATAATGGTGGTAGAGGATTAGATAGAATAATAGTGCCAATATCTTTTTCCTCTATTTCATCAACTTCATTTAGAGTAACAGACAAATATGTGATTTTCGGTGATTTTTGTATGATTACTAAATACTGTCGAACTTCTGGTTCAATCAATGTGATAGATTGCAGATTGCTAAATTGACCAATATCATACATTGATGTAAAGACTAGTATTTGACCAAATGTACAAATATTTGACAGTGTCAATGAACGAACTTGATTGTAATTAGTCGATACAATTTGTTCACAACAATAATTAAATTGATATTTTGAGAAATTGGTTAAATCAATATTTATTAAATTTATCGTTGTTTCAGAAATCAATTTGTCTATGCGATTATTTAATTTGTAAAATGATCGTATTAAATCACTAGTATTTAACAAATCAAATATTTCTAATATAATTTCGTTCGGAAGTTCATCAAATAGTAATACCATTTTGTCAAAGCTTCTCTCAATTATAACAAACAAGTGAAAAATGATTAAAACTACGTGCTATGTAAAACATGTGCAAACAAAAGAAGAAAGAAAAACGAACGCAAAATATTTAATCTCTGTTACTTGAATAAATATAAATTATAAAATATTTAGGTCACATATCATCCCATGTCAATTTTTTGAGAGACGTTTAGTGTAAAAAATTACAAAAATTCGCTCCCATTTCTCTGCAAAAATCCGCAATAAAGTTGGACGCAAGAAAATATCATCATATCACATATCATTATATCACATTTTTTGGGAAAATTGTACTGAAAAACACACGCAGTGTGACGCAAAAAAATGATTCTGTAGTAAAAGACAAAAAATGTATAGCTTTTTGTTGATTTTTATGTGAAAATATACGGCGCAAGAAAACGCATATAAGGATAATGCATTTTCCGGCGTTGCGTTAGTGTGGCCAAAAAAGTGCCAAAAAACGCATATTTTTACAGAAATCTTGAAAAAAACTTGATATGGGGCAAGTTTTCATTTCTTCTCAAAATATTTGTTATATTTCTTGAACATCATACACGACACTACACAGAAAGTGTTCAAATTATATTCATATAGCGATAAACTTTTTCTCTATACACTATTGTGACATAAAGATTTTTATTATTGAAAAATAACAGAAACATATTCTTGCCATAATTCCAGATTGAAATCTACATAAGGTTACTGATGTATATAACTTTGTATAATAGTTCAAGTTGAAAACAACGAATATTTGATTTCATTTCGAAGAGTACATTCTAGAAGATAAAACTTTACATTTTTATTTTATTTTATTATTATTATCGAAACGCCTTTCGCAACATACTGTTTTTTTACGAAGTGCAGGAATCAAAATCGATAGTAAAATACTCTTTTCATAGTATGAAAACCTTGAATAATCTTACTTCGATCTCCTTACAGCCTAGTGATATTTCTTTGAACCAACATCTTGACTTGTTCAATATTTTTAGTAAGATCTTAATTAATATCTCGATGGAAAATGTAAAAATTTAAAAAGTCAAGAACTTGTATAAAAACGAAAATTTCATTAAATCATTCTTAAAAGTTATCAGTCAATGTAACCTGTGTATTGAAAATAATTCGTGTGCAATTACAAGAAACGAAAGTCAGCGACGAGGAAAAATATTTGGACATGTAACAGGTAAAATAATGAAATAACGAGTTAGAACTGTTGGAAGGAATTTTTATCGGGAAAACTGAAAACAAATATTGAAATATTTTTTCGGTATTTACCCATGAAATTATCTACTTTCATTGACTTTAATACATGAGCATCAAACGTGAGTGTGAGTAATTTAGGAACGATTCGATGTTAAACCATCGTTTTTCTATAATTCATCAAATATATGCTAGTAATAAACAGAGAAAAAAGAGTCAAAGAATATGAAAAATATCAAGTAGGTGACAATTCAAAGAAATAAACTCTTCACGTTATGAAGACAGCTCAACGTTCCGTCCCAGGTCAAACAAATCGTATCTGAATCACATAAAATCGTACCAAATCGTATGAAAATCATATATAAATCTGATTTGTCCTCTGGATCGTAGAATATGATCGTACAACTTCGTATGAAATCGTATAGTATGAACCAGATGACAAATCAGGTACGACGATTCATATGTAAATCGTACAGAATTGTATATGATTTCGTACGATTCGTATATGATCTTGTACGATCGGATAATGCGATTCAATCACTTGAGATTCTGCGATCGATCTCACACGGTCGTGAGATGAAAAATCATATGATTTTTAGATCTTCAGCAATCTTGCAAAATAGACCACTTCGTTATAATTATTTACTTGTTATGTACCCTTACAAGATCTTAGAAAAATCTGGAAATTTTTGTCATGAAATATTACAAGGCCAATGACCCATCATATCACAGAAGTTTTTCTACGACACACAGTGCACAGTATATACATTATCGATTTATGAGATAAACACAACATTTTTTTCTTTTCAACTCCACTTATCAGCTGATGAGGGAACCGATTTAACTGTCAAATCGTTTTTTCAATGAGACCTAGTGGATTATAGGTTATCGACTATGTTGATTCCGAATATGACCATGGCAATTGCCTGTAGGTCTCCAGAGACTGGTTTTCTGGAAAACCAGTTTTTCAGAAACTCTAAAAAGTAATAAAAACCGCATTTCTGATTAAAATGAGACATCTCCCACCTTTCTTTACAAAGTTACAGAATTTACAAGAAAAGCCCTAAATTTCTTTTCTTCTTATTTCTGTAGCTTTGAGCTGATAATCAACATTTAGGGCTTTTCTTGTACATTCTATAACTTTGCAAAGAAAGGTCGTGTAGACCTGGGAGATGTCTCATTTTAATCAGAAATGCGTGGGCTATAATTATGCCTTATTAAGAAAGGTTTTTATTACTTTTTAGGATTTCTGAAAAACCAGTTTTTCAGAAAACCAGTCTCTGGAGACCTACAGGCAATTGCCATGGTGATGAAATCTTTTTGCATTTTCTTTCTTCTTTTGTTTGCACATGTTTTACATAGCACGTAGTTTTAATCATTTTCAATGTTTGTAAATGTTCTGGCATTGTTGATGAATTTATCGTAAAGAG